AGACAGACAGACAGACAGACAGACAGACAGACAGACAGACAGACAGATAGACAGATAGATAGATAGATAGATAGACAGATAGATAGATAGATAGACAGATAGATAGACAGATAGATAGATAGATAGATAGATAGACAGAGATACTTTATTAATCCCAGTCTAATTATACAGAAAAAAGACACACATGAAATAATCAAAAAAAGAAGCAGAATACACAATAATGAAAAAAAAACAAACTATATGCACATACACAAGGCAGTAGGGAGTACTACGTTCATGATTAACCTATATGTATGTATACATACACATCTAAGCATACTTATGCATACATATGTATATTCCTATGTACATGTTTATATACATACATATGCATACATGTGTCCAGGGTACCACAGATTTACAGGCTCTATTTTTACTGTACAGGGAGGAATTGAACACTGATAACCTGAGGGACAAAGGACTTCCTGACTCTGTCCGTGGAGCAGGGCTGGGACTGCAGTCTACACTGAAGGAGCTCCTCTGCTTCATGGTGACACCGTGCAGAGGATGGTCAGCATGGTCCATGATGGACAGCAGCTTAGTGAGGGCCCTTTTCTGTGCCGCTGATGTAAGGGACTCCAGCTCTGTTCCCAGCACAGACCAGCTTTCTTCACAAGCTTGTCAAGTCGCCCCACATGTCTCCTCTTAATGCTGCCTCCCCCAACACACAACATCTCAGAAGAGGACACTGGCTACCACAGACTGGTAGAACATCAGCAGCAGTTTCCTGCAGATACTGAAGGACCCAAGCCTCTTCAGGAAGTAGAGCCTGCTCTGACCCTTCCTGTAGAGTTAGTCCGTGTTCACTGACCAGTCCAGACGGTCATCCAGTTGTATGCTCAGATATTTGTAGCTCCAGACCACCTCCACATTGACCCCTTCAATTGAGACTGGCTTCAGGGTAGGCCCAGGCCTTCTGAAGTCCACCACCATTTCCTTTGTTTTACTGATGTTCAACTGTAGATGGCTGGATGTGCACCACACAAAGTTCTCATCCAGGGTCCTGTACTTTGTCTCCTGCACATCCTGCACATCCCCAACGATTGCAGTGTCGTCTGGGTACTTCTGTGGCAAGTCTGAGTTGTAACTGAAGTCGTGTGTGCAGGGTGAACAGAACTGGAGAGAGCACGGTCCCTGCGGTGCTCCTGACCACTGTGTCTGTGCAGACCCTGATCCTGACTGGTCTCTCAGTGAGACAGTTTGTAATATACTGTATAGGTGCAATGACAAAGGTCTATTCCATTCTATTCTAAAATATTATTTGATTGTACTAAGGAAAAACTAAAAATATATGTTTTATTGCAATCAAACACACGCATGAACAATAAAAGACGTGTTCTCGGTTTTATTTTTTTAAATTTTCCTACAGTCTTAGATACATACTTCTGAAACTCTCTGGCTTCAGACTTAAAGCTTGAAAACCAAGGATTATCTCAAAATGAATGAATAATGTGCATTTTCACTATTATACTCCACAAAACTGTGGTTTCTTCCATAAACGTATAACATATTTAATTTTAAACAAAAAGTTGTCATGATGGTTATTCAGTCCGTTCGCTGCTCCCCGGCTGCCTCCGCGATCCTTTTCCCCATGGTCAGGATCCCCGCTGCCTGGTTCCTGGAGCCATGGAGCAGCTGGTGCAGCCGGCTTTGCAGGCGATATTCATCCTCGTCCCGTTTGCCCAGAGTGAGGATCCCAGCAGCTGCGTCTTCTACGACGGTTCCGCCCTTGCTCATGCTGCCAGAACGACACAGTAAGGCGTAGAGGCGACAGGAGCGAGGCGGCTGCCTGCAGCATTCAGACACACTCTGAGCATCACAGTCCAGCTGAGACAGCAGCAGCATCAGCACCAGCACCAAGGCTTTCTGTTCACGGGAGGAAACCACTTTTACAGGATATTAAAGTTACAAAACTTCAAATAGGCAACTTTTATCTAAACTTTATAATACACAACTACAAATGCATATATATTTACATTTCTTATGATGGTGGTTAGCTCTATAAACTATTGAAACATGCAGAAAACATCTCCCATGCATAACAATATGAATAATTAGTATAAACACTAATATGTACAATAGTAGTCAGTATGACTAAGATCATTAGATGGAAGATTTTAATTGTATTTTATCATTTATTCATGCAGAAAGAATAAAAGAAAGTTAAGTCATCAAGCTCTTAACACATCTAAACACAAACATCTTTATTTTTCTGAATATAGTTTAAAGTTTTTATTGTAGATCAGGCAACATTTTGCTACATAGGATTAATTTAGCCAATTTTTAAGTAACAAAAATTCATAATTCATTGTTTAGTCATCCCAAAGGGACATGAAATGCACACTGGTTTAAATGGTAATAAATGAAACTAAACAAACACAAATAATTAGATTTTACACATCAATATTTTAGGAATGTTGTAATATATTTTTACTTCACATTTATACATTAGAGGAAACATAAGTTACTTTATCAAGTGAAAGTGCATAAATGTGGTAAAAACTGTCAATATGGTGCAAGTTGCAATTGAATAAAAATTATTACATAAAACAAAAAATATGTAAAAGTTTCCAAAACTGTGCTAAACTAATGAACGTATCTCGATGATACTTTTGATCCTGCACAGAAAGAGATTTATCACTTAAATGTGTTGCCTGAACAATTACACACAGATCGAATCAAAATAGTAAAAATGTTTTGCTTAATTAAAAATGTCTGAAACTTCAGGTGTCAGCGATCAAAGTCAAACTAAACCGTAAATATTCACTCCTCAAATGTGTTTTCAATCAATAAAAGTATAAATCTTTGACATTTTCAGAATAAATAATGCGTCTCGAGCCTTCTTACCCTGTGAGACGTGTCCATCCCAGCAGCTCTCTGGATGGTGGTGTGGTTCCACGTCACCTTCAGGCTCTTACGGACAGGAGTCATCGGATCTTCTCATCTGCTCAGGAAAGGAAGTGTCTTTTATATTGTTCTGTTCCCATCGTCAGTCCTCTGGACGTCACTCAGGCACAAACGTGAGGCACAAACCTCACTAATTCTCCAGCTTCTGATCTTTGCTCATTTGAAGTTTGCCGAACAATAATTGGACTCCTGTTGTAGATCATCTCCAAGGCGTCTCCATGGACCATAGACAAACTGGAGGCATGTCTTTGTGGCGGCATGTCAAAACGTTATTAAGACATTCCATTAGAATGAGTGGAAAAGCTAATGTGTAAAATCTGTAAATATATAATCTGAATACATGAATAACATCTAGTTTTCAATGACAAGCTCTTTGAAGGCCATGCTAATGAGGCCTTATGGGTCGTTTTATACAAAAGGTGTCGTAGTAACTCATGAGCAAGAATTTCAGCTATTTTTTTTTTGTTGTCTTGAAGAATTAGCTTGTATTGTATACACACAGCTGAAAAAGTTTTATTTATTTATTTTTTAAGTATACTGTAGCTGAAAAAGTTGAGAGTCCAACAAGTATCTGAGTGGCCATGCAACACTTATTATCTACTTAAAAAAAAAAAAAACTAAGTTAATATACAGCATCAGGACAATAAGTTAAAAGAAGTTCCTAATTGAAAAATGTCCCCGTCATCCTCTGAGCCATATAGTTAATGTTTGTTGCCATCTTTTGGACAACAGGAAGCACTGCTTTTAACAGAGGAACTCATTCACGACAGAAGAAAAGGCCTAAATCGATGAGGAAATCATTTTGGATCACTTGTAATAAAACTGTGCAGCAAGGCTCTTCAGAAACATCGAATAAATCTTTTTGGACATCTGTACTGATCGTTCAGGCGCCTTTCAGTATAATCTAAAGAGTTTACAGAGTTAATAAAGGTCACCATGTTTGTGTGAATTGTGGATTGCTACAATATATATTATATATTATAATAATTAAAAGCCTAGCATTTCTTCACATAATCCAGCACCAAATCATCCAGCACCATATGCCAGAGGTTTAACTTTGAATCATCCTGTTCTGAGAAAGAAAAGAATCACAGCAGAGCTGTTTTGGTCATCCATCCATTTTCGTTACATTTTTCTCCCTTCCAAGGTGCAGGGGAGCTGGTGCACATCTCCAGCAGTCAAACTGAAAGAGGTGGTCCATCACAGGGGCCACAACTATTCTCACCCACACCTTTAGGGATGATTTAGTTACCAGTTAAACTAACATGCATGTTTTTAGTCTGTGGCAGGAAATCTGGAGAAACCCCATGCATGCACAGGTAGAACAGGCAAACTCCACACAAAAAAGCTGCAGCTGGATGACAATCCTGCAACCCTCTTGCCAGCTGGTGACAAATCGAACCACTGCTCCGCTGCAACACAACTGCTTTGGTCAACACATGTAAAAGGCATTATGCACGATCTCATGAGATCTTGTGAGATGTGATGTCACTCAGAGAACGACATATTTTAGCTCAATATCTGAAGGACATGTGGAGTTGTAGCCATTTTTGTGTTGGATAAGGTCAATGAGCTGAGGCGACCATCGTGAACCGGTAAAAGTTAATGAGTTTTAGATGCACGTCCAAAAATTACTTTCAGAGAGTTTCACTAAAAGTAATTTGCTGGTTCATGTGAGACTTTGATGTTATTAGTGCAAGTTGGAGCACGGAGAATAACCTTCACATCAATGTGAAGATGACGAAGGAGATGGTCGTAGACTTCAGAAGGAACAAAAACACCTACACCCACTGAACATAAGAGGATCTGCGGTGGAAGTGGTCTCCAGCTACAAGTACTTGGGTGTACACTTGAACAACGATCTCAGCTGGAGCAACAACACCATCAGCCTGATCAAGAAAGATCGTCAGAGACTCTACTTCCTCAGACGGCTGAGACGAGCTGGTCTGGAAGCTCAGTCCTCACCTCCTTCTACAGGTGTGCAGTGGAGAGCATCCTGTGCTCCAGCATCAACGTGTGGCATGGAGGCTGCACAGCTGCAGAAAGAAAAGCTTTGCAGAGAGTGGTGAAGGCTGCACAGAAGATGTTGGAGTCAGTCTCCCCACCATAACAGACATCTACACCTCCAGATGCAGGAAGAGGGCCACCTGCATCATGAAGGACCACACTCACCCAGCACACACACTTTTTGCCCCGCTCCCCTCAGGAAGGAGGTTGAGGAGCATTAAGTGTAGAACCACTAGACTGAGGAACAGCTTCTACCCTGAGGCTGTTAGACTCATGAATCTCTAACTAGAATAATCACTGTGAAAAATCACATCATGTTGCTGCTGATCTGTTTCATGTTGCTGCTGATCTGTTTCATGTTGCTCTGTTCATTCATGCTCGTCATCTGCTCACACAGACTCATGTTCGTGCTGCTGTTTGGCGTATTGTTTTTACGTTATTAGTGCTTAGTGTATTTTTAGTTGATGTTTTTCTTAGTTCATATCTTTGATGTTATTACTGTTTTTCTTATACATTTTATTGTTGGATGTAACTGGGACCCTGTGAACATAATTTCGTTCCACCGCATGTACCACATGAGGTGTGAATGACAAATAAACTGACTCCGACTCTCTGACTGAGGTGAGTGATCATGTTTTTCAAACCTACAGAGTTGTTTTTTTTCTTTGGGCTGCTCCCTTCTTCAAGGTTTGCCACAGCGAAGTAAGTCGCACGAAGACTTTGCAATTATTGTTTCACTGGATGCCCTTCCTGACAAACACCGGACTACCACAGCCCTTTTTGTGGAGCAGATGACGTGTGTGTATCTATCTATCTATCTATCTATCTATCTCTATATCTATATCTATAT